TTTAAATCCTGGCTCCCATATTTATTTACTAGACATAGGGTGCTGAGCAAGTAACAACAAATTGAACTTGCATCTCAATTTCCTCATTTGTAAAATGGTGACATAATAATACTTAACCTAGCTGTCTCACAAGATAGTTAGGAAGAAACCCACTTTAAAAATGTTAAACAAATTATAAATATGAGTCATTATTTTATAGGGCTCTGACCTTTGACTTTACAGGTAAGCCTGGTCTTGCATTGTCCTAAACCAAAAGGACTTACCATCTTGGCCTTGGTCCATGATGTGCTCTTGGCCTACAGCAGATGCCTCAGTACCCACACACCAGTACATTCTGGGTTGCAGTTGTGAAACTCCAGTAATCCAGTTTCTGAAGCAGCCCAGTCAGAGATCACCATCTGCACAGCTCAGAGTACAGGTGACAGTGTGGAAGCAAGATGATATTGTGGTTGAGAAGAAATTTTGTTTGCTATATTGGAGAGGGGAAAAAGAGCTTTTTAAATGATCAAATCTTTCTCCATTCTTGTAAATCTTTAAAATAATTCTTCCTATCTAAGGCTCACTCTTTCTTTCAATGACCTTCATGTGTTACTTACTCCAGCTAAGCCCTGACGGGCTGGGTGAAAACAAGCAGTATCCCTCGAATATCACAAACAACAGCCATGATCCATCATGTACATAATGTGCATGCAAAAAAGTGTGTACATTTTAATCAACACCATGCATGACCTACCACAATTCCAGAGGACTCACGATGAAATATACTGCATACTTCCTGATAAAGGTGATATAAACTCAGAGTGCAGACTGAGATTTTTTGTTTTTTGGACATGGTTAATGTGGTAATTTGTTTGACTATAACAGGTTAGTAACAGGGGTTTTGTTTTTCTTACTTTCGTAATAGATTAAATGAGACATTTGTAAATCGTTTAAGCACACTGTCTGGTAAATAGTAGGATCTTAACAAATACTTGTTCCCTTCCTCCTTCACTCCCCTTAATAAGGATGGAGGAGGTGGGAAGAAGGGAAAGTGAATTTTTGTTTGAAAACAAAATAAAATTTAATTTAGAAAAAAATTTATTTTATAAGCATGGGGATTAGAAAGGATATGGACTATGCCATCAGCAGGGTTTTCTACCTTTTTCTAATTAGCAGCCTCCCTTAAAATTTAAACTTTTAAAGTGGGGATTATTCCTATGACGTATGACATAGAGACTAGAAAACTAGATTTGGAGTCAGTTAGACCAGGGTTCAAATAACCCAGGGGGCAAATCATTTAATCTTTCAACGCTCTAGAAAACTCTCCAAAATTTACATAGGAGCTAGCTCTGGTGGAGGGAGTTCCCTATAATTAATGAAATTATAGTCCCAGTCCCTATCCCTATTTATATCTGATAAAGAGGTGGTCCTCCTTGCCAAGGACAACCTTTTTTGATCTCATGCCCTCCTCTCTACTTCAGCAAACTGTCCCCACTATCATCTCCTCTTCTAATCTTCAATCTCTACCAATGTACTGGCCCTTTTCCCTGCTGTGCCTACAAACGGGCCTCAAATCTCTCCCTTGAGCTCTTGAAAATAGTCTCCCCTTTCTTCTCTTTCTCTCCTTTCACTTACTTCCCATTAGATTGTAAACTCTTTAAGGGCAGGGACTTTTCTTTTGCCTCTTTTTGTATCTACAGCATGCTCAGTGCCTGGCACACAGTAGGTGCTTAATAAATGTTTATTGATTGATAAACTGCTTCTAGCTTCTGACCTCATATCCCTCTAACATTACCAATGGTCTTTTAACTGTTAAGCTGATGATCTTTCCTCAATACACATCCTTCTTGATCACTTTAAGCATTTGAAACAATTGACTACCTTCCCATCTGGAATATTTTATGAGTTTTCCTGGCACTATTTTCTCCTAGTTCTCTACCTACTTGCCACTTCTTGGGCTCCTTAGCTGGTTTATCCTCATTTCATGACCCCTAATTATGGCTGTTATCTCTAAAGCTTTGTCTCAAGTGCTCTTCTCTCCTCTCTCTCATTTGTATTTATTTTGTATGAGTACACACTGCCTTTTATCAATAGAATATAAGGTTTTGCTTTTTTGTTTTGAATTTCTCCCTTTAAAAAAGGCTTGGTAATCAATAATTGATGCTGGTTCTGCACTACACCTAGTATACTGTGTGTCTCCAACAATTATTAAGCAACACAGCTGCAAAAATAGGTCCAACAGATTTCATGACTTAGTACTTAAAAGAACTGGAAATCAAATAGCCAATGCTTTTCTAAGCACTCCGACAGCTCATGTCATGAGGATTATGTACCACTGCATTCCTTAAACCCCTTTAAGGAATACAATGAGTTGTTTGGAGGGGCATAATCAGAACAAAATTCACAGATGTGGTGTTAAATATGATTTGGCAGTATTTCACATAGAAAGGAGAAATATCTGAACAAGCACCAGGGATGTTAGCTTTTAAACATTTTGGAGGCTAAGAAGTGGGGAGAAGTGGGGGGAGGTTGGGAAGGATTGGAGAGAGATTATAGATCCTGCTGAGATTTAACCAAGAGGTGTTAACTCTACAAAAACTAATCTAAAAAAATAAACTCATGGGGCTTGGGTTTGGGGAAGAGATATAGAATGGGACTAAAACTATTGTAAATAACTGCCTTCAAATATAATGAGTTACTAAATATTTACTCTATGCTCCTGACACTAAAAGTAATATAATGCTGGGCAACTGTTGAAAATTTTTTAAAGTTTCCTACCTGTAATAATGTTTTTCCTCATTTTTACTTTTTTCTGCAAACTTGAAATTTTAGCTTCTGCTAAAACCCCCAACACATGCTGTTCCCCTTTTTGCTTTCAGTTTCTCTATGAAAATCATTTTTACCAACATAGTATTTTGCCACCAGAGCAGCTTTATAGTCACAATTTTGTCCATTTGCTAAATAGAAGTTAGAAGGTGTAGCAACTCAAGTTTTGCTCAATCTCTGCCCTCAAACGGATTTCTGCTTCTTCATAGATCTCCTTATCTTTAGGTTCCTGGCATAATCAAATTTCTAAATTGGGAAATTATCTCATATTAGAGGTGGCAAATATCGCACATTTTTCCTTCTCAGCCAAAGTTTGCTATAAAAGCTTGCTATAAAAGCTTCCTCAAAGTTTCCCTCAGCTTTAGTTAGGTTCCTGGTATAATCAGATTTCTAAATTATGAAATTAGCTTAGAAGAGGCAAATAGTGCAAATTTTCCATTTTTCAGCCAAAGGGTGGTTTCCAAACCTTTTCCACCTATATAAATGCATAAATGTTCCAAGATCTTTCAAAATAAAAAGGCCTGTATTCTCCTGGTAGTTGTATCCCATGGCATCTCATCTTACAATAATTCTGAAGGCTCAGAATAAAATCAGTATTCTCTTTGTGACCTCACATCTCCCTCCCTCAAAAGTAGCACAGTAATAAAGTCAATTTACTTCAAAGGGGTGTGTCGGGGTGAAAGTAGTAAAACCATAAAGTCCTAAGGCCAGGCCTCACTGTGGCCTAGAGGTGACTTGGGGTTCAAAAAGCCTAATACAAAACAAAAGCTCTAGAGGGTTCTACCTGGAGGCAAAGACTTACAGGGTAGCTTGTGGGTCTTCTGTGCAAGAACTAGCCTAAATTTGGAGAAATTTGTCAGCAACAGATTAGCAGCAGGGTGCTGATTTTTTCCTGGCAAAATCAATTCTCCAGCAATGCAAATGTGCAAAAAATGTACAAATGAACTAATGCAAGGCAGAATGTGATAACAGTAAAAGCTTAGGACAAAGTGCTAAATTTGAGAAGAAAGAGATGTATCACTTTAGCTGGTAGCTTGGGAGCAAGGTTGGGGACAGTGGAACATGGAGGAAAAAGTACCTGGATTGGGCCTTTAAAGATTTCAGTAATTCAAGAGAGATTTCTTTTGCTGACTTTTTATTAAACCCAATACAGAGGGAGTCCATTACAGCCTAGTGAAAGGCATTCTGTGGGAGACAACCTTCGAAAAGAGGAATCATGGTGCTCTTCCAAGTCGAGGCTTGGAAAAGAGTTTGTTTCCCTTGCCCCTCCAAGAGCAAAATTTTCCAAGGCCTTCAAATCATGACTAGAAGATAAAGAGGGCATCTACTGGGGGATCCCTGTTTACCTGCTGAAGTCAATTCTTTAAATTCTAGGCACAGTTACTTAGTGCACAAACCCCTAACCTTGGGCAAAAACAATATCCAAGGTATCACAGAGGTAAATGGTATTCTCATTAATCTTCCCACAATCTCCCTGGGAGTAATAAGGGTGTAGAAAACTCAACTTTTCCTAAAATGTTTAACTGAGTTGGGAGGACCTGAACGTTTATTTTACTAAGTAAATTCCTATCAGCCAGACAATATTATGCTTTACATGCATACTTAGTAAAATTAAACCCCAAATGCCCTTCCTCACACGGATTTGACAACCAAATGTTAAGAAGAGAAACTAAAAAAAGGAAAAAGGCATAAGGCCAAGTATTTTGTCTGAAAGCAAAGGGAAGGTTTAGATGTTACTTCTTTAATACCCCACTCCCTTCCTTTTTCTTTTGTTGCTCAGTACAAAGCTACTTAATCACAATTGCCTCTTTTAAGATTTTATCAGAATACCAGCGCATTCAGTTTATCAAAGCAAGTCTAGGTCTCGCACAGATTCCGAGGGATCGTTTGAAATCCTAGTTAAGCTGGAGTGCCATAACCTGTTTTTGTTGCTGCTTTTTCTAGGAAGTGTCTCTCCCCCCTCCCCCCAGCATGTCCTGACAGATACTGAAGAAATAAAAACATCTTACTTATGGTTTAAAAAAAAAAAAAGCAAGGTGCTTTTGTTTCTGGCCATCTTAGATCAGGGTCCAAATAGTCTCTAGAGGCAAATAACCCGTATGCATTCCCCTTAACATATACCCTTAAAAAGATTGGCAAGAGGCAATGCACGCATAATATTGTTTGGTTGATAGATCAATCAATCGATCAATCAATAAACATTTATTTAGCGCCTACTATGTGTCAGGCACTGTTTTAAGCTCTGGATAGATCGTGGACAGCAGAAGTTGGTGCCTAACTTCGGGAGGAGGTCGGTCCGGGACCTCAGATTCCTTCTCGGCTCGCTGGCCATCCCCAAAGCCCAGGTTCGGACGCCCAAGCCCCTACCCCTCCACCACCCCTACCCAGTCCCAGATTCCCGGTCCCCTCTGCAGGCAGTTCCCAGGGGACGTGAGTCACTGCAGAGAAATCCCGGCAGCAGAAAGAAAGTTTGGAGTTCTGAGAGTCTCCCCGTAGCGCTGCAGGCACCTCGCTCTCTCCCGGGCAGGAGCCAAGGCGAGCTGCACCTGGGGAAAGGTGAGTCTTGCAGCCTTCCCGCGCCCCCACCCCCACCCCAGCAAAATCCACATCCTCCTGGGCTCTGAAGGCAGCGGGGGGCCGCCCTCCAAAGAGGTGGCCGACAGGAGGAGGCCAGCCCGTGGCGTGGCCTCTCCCTCGCCGCAGGCACAGCTAGTCTAGGGACCCAGCCCCGCCACCCCACCCCACTCGGAAACTGAGTGGAATGCGTCCCGGAGGAGGAGAAAGCCAAGCTCAGGGGAGGGGTCCGAGGAGAAGCTTACCTGGTACTCTGGGAGGGATCCGGGGGGTCCCGCACTGCCAGGTGGAATCGGGGCTCAGGGCTACTGCAGCTCCCTCCGTGGGGAGGGGAGGGAAGCGGGAGGCGTGGGCGGGAGTCCCCCGGGGAGGGCGGGGCCGGGGCCGGAGCGGAGCAGAGCCCCCCTTCCTGTCCCCACCTCCTCCTCCCTCCCGCCGCCTCCCGCGCTGCGCCCCGGGCCTCGCGCTCTGCCTGGGCCACGGCCACGGCCCGGTCACGGCCACGGCCACGGCCAGGGCCAGGACCTCCCTTCCTCTAGGGCCAGGACCTCCTAGGGAAAGGCGGGCGGGTTGCGCTGCGGGGCTAGGGAGAATAAGCGGTGAGCCGGAGGGGACGGGCCGGCCGCGGGGGAGTAAAGTTGGGGGCTGCTTATTTCGGAAAGGAAATTCGGTGGTGGCTGGGGGAGAGGCGTTGGGAGGCTGCAGGGTCCGAGAATTGGACCACCGCCTCGGGCAGTCTTCAGAGGCTATCGACTCTTCCCTCGACTTTACAGATGTGGAAACTGAGGCCCCTGGAAATTAGGAGACTTGAATAAAGATCCTAGGAGCCTGTCCCCTTATTTTACAAATGAGGAAACTGAGGCACAGGGAGGGTTACTCATACCCCCAGGTCACACAGACTCTATCAGAGTCAGGACTTGAAGTCTTTCTGGCTCTAAAGTCAATGTGCTCTATCTACTACGCAACCCTGCGTCATCCTTTTACCATATATTTTAATGTACCTGTATACAGATATAATTTGCAGCCATCCCTGGTCCATATCCTCTGTTAAATGAAGCAGAAACTAATGTGAAAATAGGATTTGTCAAGTAAGGTCCTTCGTCCAATCAGACTTCTGCCTACTTTTTTCAGTCTAAACTTAGATGACTTCCCCTTCCATTATTACTCTATGCTCCATCCAAATTGGACCACCAAAGCCTTCAAAATACGTCTTAATTTCTTTAGGTGGTCTGTGACTCTTAGTGGCAGTGTCTATCTAGGCTTGTAGTCAAAAAAAACAAAAAAACAAAACCCGAGTTTGAATCTGGTTTACCACCAGCTCTAATGAAGGGAAGGGAAGGGAAAGGAATAAGCATTTATAAAACTCCTACTATGTTCCCCAGCATTATGCTAAGTGCCTTACAAATATTTTATTTGATCCTTACAACAACTGCTTTTATTATTCCCATTTTATAGTTGAGGAAACTGAGGCAAATAGATTAAGTGATTTGCCCATAGTAACACAGCTACTAAGTGTTTGAGGCATAATTTGAACTCCTGTCCTCCTGACTCCTGACCCAGCATTCTAAATGCTACGCCACCTATCTGCCCCTATATGGTCCAGGAAGTAATTTAACCTCTTTCTACCCCAGTTTTCTCATCTGTAAAATGGGTCTAATAATAGTTAAAGACTTCAAGTGTAGTATTTCATGAGATTGTCATTAGGAAAATATTTCCTCAGTCTTTTAAGTGTGAGTTATTTTGGCTACAAGCACTTATTTGCATGGTTCATAGTCTCTCTCATCCTCATGTCCTGGACTCAGTTATTACTTAACTCTTTTGTGGGCCTGAGACAGACTGAACTTCTGCTAGGAAACCTCGCCCTGTGAGGCAGAGCTATAATTGGAGACCTGACATGACTGCAGTCATATTAGGGCAAATCTCATTTCATAATTGAAAAGCGACTTGTAACAGACTCTTATAATAGCAAAGAGGCACAGTATTACCACTTCCTAGTAATGTCCCGATGTGATGTTTGTCTATTAGGATTAAAGAAAAAAAGAATGAAGATAGCAAGTAAGTCCACCCCACAGTGCGGACGACATTATGATTTCATTACTCTTCTTACTCATAATTTCCTTCTCAATATTCCCTAGCAACAACTCTGTCATATGCCACCTAGTGACTTCTTTAGGATATGCATGGTAGGGGATGTAGTAAGATTGGGCCAGGCTGAAAATTCAGTACTTTTTTTCTATTTTTGGAGGATAGGGTGGGCTTGGGACTTGGGGCGGGGGGTGACCTTGAAATGACTAGGTTGACAAAAGCCTCATAGCAAAACAGGAGGCCATTGGAAACTACAACTTCCCCATTTAGAATTGGTCAAATCAAAGAATTCAGTTTAACACATATATTGAAAAGAATTCTCAAATTTGTTTTCTTAATAAATTTCTCTTCACCTAACACTTGGGAGAAAAAGAATCTAACATTTTCTCATACGTAATTCTTGAACAAGGCAGAACTATTCCCCTCTTTGCCTCTATAGTACAGTGGAAAAGGTGCTTGGGAGGGACAGCTAGGTGGCGCAGTGGACAGAGCACCCGCCCTGAAGTCAGGATGACCAGAGTTCAAATCCGGCCTTAGACCAAACCCTGGGCAAGTCACTTAACCCCAATTGCCTAAAAAAAAATTAAAAAAAGAAAAGGTGCTTCAAGTCACTTCACCTCTCTCATCTTCAGTGTTTCATCTGTAAAAGGAAGCAATTGGCTTCTCAGGTCCCTTCAAGCTCCAAAATCTATGATCTGATGACAAACATTCTAGCCTTTTTCTTTTTTTTTTTAAAGTAGCATTTTGCTGAAACATAGAAGGAGCTGCATTTAAAACTTCAAATCCAAGATATTAACCTAAAAATGTTTATTACTAGTTAACCCCACTGATGCTCTTATTCCAACTTTAACTTTCAACTTTTAGCAATGAATTATTTGTTGAAGTTTCAAAACAGTTTAGGAAAATCTAGATGCAAACATCCAGATAAAGAAGTAGCAAATCTTATTTTGGCTATTAGAAGAACTCTTGTCTAAGGCTGTAAATCTGGGCTAATGTAAATTTAATCTCTCAGACCAGCAATTTTTTTTTTAATTTGGATTAAGTTCTTCATTTGTCTACCAGATTCAGGTAAAAGAAGAAAGAACATCCACATATAATGGGTGAGTTTTTGTTGATAAGGAAAACAAGTCATTGTTTTGTCTCAAAAGTTTATTCTGTTTTAAAAGTGGTGTTGCATTGCTTTAAACTTAATCTGCAGTGGAATTAGAATTCGCAGGATTATAGTGGGTTTTTTTTTTAAACCACACCACAGAAAGGTAAATCTTTAAAGAATAGAAAACCTAATATTACATAGATTTCCATTTCTAAATACAGTATATACAAGAAGTTTAAACATACCATTTCCATGTACTTTCAGCTATAAAAAATAGGATATACTGTATACTAATTATAAATATTTAAACAATTTAAGTAGCATTTCATATGAAAAGCATAACTGTGCAATGAAAGAAGAGGAACCCTCTGAGGGATTATTTTTAAAGTTAGTGTCTGAAGTTATGTAAGAAAAAATTCAGAAAGTTCAGTGTGTAAAGTCAAACCCTGATTTAACAAAATAATAAGACAATATGTTGAATCTTAACTGATAGAAAAAAACAGTGAATTACATATGGCATTATTTTCTACAAAAGGATAGCAATTCTATATCATATACATGATTCTCTGTATACACATGTTGATTTTTATTTTTGAAGTTTCATTTTGTTATGCTACCCCCTCCCCCATCTCAAATATAAGCATCATTTTTCACATCTAGAAAAAAATACCAGTTAGGTGATACTTTAAAGTATGCCTTAAGAATTTTTTTTTAAAATAAGCTTTGATATTGCAATGCCAATAGGAAAATTTATAGCATTCCCAAGTTTGGAGTTACAGAACATCTTAAGTTTTTGTTATATAAAAAGGTGAGAAAAATTCACAACTTTTTTTTAAAAAGCAATATTCCTAAACCACTCAGGTGTAGTAGGAGACCTCTTGCCTCCACTCAGTCCATATTGTTATTTGCTGAATCAATTAGAAATCAATATGAATAGCAGACTTGTAAAGTAAGGCTAGGTGACACCAATCTTTCCAGTAGTATGTAAGTCTTCCTAAGCAATTTGGATCAATAAGTAGCATGACCTAGTGGGAAGAGCCCTGGAACTTGAAGTTGGAAAATATGGGTTTGAGTTCAAAGTCCCTCCTAGCTGTGTGACTGCATAATTCATTGAAACTTGGTGGGCCTCAGTTTCCTTAACTGAAAAATGGGGATAATAATAGTTATGCTGCCTACTTCACAGGATTGCTATAAAAAATGCACTTTAAAGTTCTATTAAAAACAACAAACAGGACTTGTTATTTATGATCAGTGCTCCAGAGGGGAGAGAGGGCAGAAGAAGGTCTTAGGGATAACCACAGAGCATTACTACCTGATACAGAATTGCAGTTTGTGGGGAAAAAAAGAGTTCTTGCTTTAAGTAGCTTGTTAATGCCTAGTGCTTAGCACAGTGCCTGGTACATAGTAGGTGTATAATAGGTACATAATAACTGCTTACTGATTGTTGCCCAGAGCTTAGCACAGTACCTGGCACATAATAAGTGTTGATTGATTGATTAATGTTCTGACTCTACCATCCTAGGGATAGATACACAGATACAGGGCTCTCGGTGAAACTGCTGTGAAAATCTCCCGTGTTGTGCTTAAAAGTTAAGCATATACCAAGCTGCTAGACTTTATAAGATAGAGGAAATCTTTGTGCTAAATGAGGTGCAAAAGTCTCTTTTTCCCCCGATAAAAGAAAGTGCTTGGCAGGACATATATGTGTTGTATGTAGTATGTTTTGGGGGCTACTGAATGAGTGATATTTGGGGGACTTATATTTAAACCAAGTAATGTAGGCATACCATATTATGAATGAAGAAAACTGCCTGCCAAATTAATCACTGTTCATTCTGTCCTTTAATGAGATTAACACCCCTACATGAAGGAACTTGACACAGGATTATAATCTTCAAATCAAAGTAGACTTAAAGTTTACATTAATTCATGTCATTCAGCTTGTGTGTTTTCTACCTAACCTCTGGCTGAATGGCCAAGTCCACTTGTGCTTAATATAAGACTAATAATAAGACTAGAATGAACCTTAGAGTTCAGGTAGGCTGGTCTTAGTGGGGGTGGAGGTGGGGGTGGGGGAAGAGGTCTTTGACAAGATTCATCACTAAAAATTATAGGGTTTCTCCTCCCTAGGTCTAGAGAAGACTTTTTCTTTTTGCCAAGTTCTCAACAGAGACAAGAAATCTGACCATGTGCTTTTCAATCGAGGGTCAGACGTCATTGTTTTTGGAAATGCCGGTTTTTTAACAATGCCCTGAGCTTCTTCACTGTCCCCCATGACCAGGTCTGAAGGGGCAAAACTCTAATGATAGCTGATAATTTGACTACTATAAAGTATGACAAAATTCACAGGTGGCTAATGGAGCCCTCCAGAGTTTAGATGAATGAAGGTGAACATGAATGAGAGAAAACTTTCAAAATCCGGTGGATTTAAAAGTCCTAGAAGAAATAAAGTTATTTTTTTTAAAGAAGTGCTGTGTTCTACAAAATTTCTCTGCCACATTCAGAACGTCAGATGCTTAAGGAAGGATATCTCCCGTTCAATGACTCTTCTCATTGAGTTTAATAGTAACTGTTTTCACTTCTGTGTATTCGGCAAGAGCATATTCGCCTCTGTAATAATAAGAAAAAAAAATAAGAAAACCACATTTTCTAGATTCCTTATGTAATATATGTGTGTATGTGTGTGTGTGTGTGTGTGTGTGTGTGTATATATATATATATCTTTATCCATATAACTCTGCCAAGTCACTTTGAATTCATTCCAGGAAGAGAATATCAGAAAGTAGGTTAAGAAACTGGTCAACTGTGAATAATTTAGCTATTTTCAGCAATACAGTGATCCAAGACAACCCCAAAAGACTAATGTATGAGTCAAAAGAAAAGAGAAAGAAAGAAAGAAAGAAAGAAAGAAAGAAAGAAAGAAAGAAAGAAAGAAAGAAA